TTGTTAGACATGTAAGATAGCTGTAATTCTTATGGTACTAAGTCATATTATTTTCTCTTTTCATCCAATTTTTTTTTCTCTACCTGAGGTTGAAAAGTAGCTAGGGAATAAAAAGGGGAAAAGTTCTGTGAATGTCTGCTTCTCGCTGTGCACATAACCTTTATTCAAGTGAGGAGAGGTAAGAACAGAAAGGGGATAGAAAAGAGACTGAAGGATAAAACGTGCAAAACTTGTGACTCACTAGGAGCCGGCGGGATGAAAGAAAGGGGCAGAGTTAAGGCACTTTGAGAATAGAGGGTCAGGAGAGGAAAGATGCCTTTAGATATTTGAGGGGCCCGTGGGGAGCCCAGGATCTGCGGAGAGTGACAGTCATGCCGAAGCCAGGATGGCCTTGTTCGGGGTGCTGTGGGGACGCAGAGCTCCAGCTGGGGAGTGTGAGGGGCCACAGGGGCTGGAGGCCGGCAGCAGGGAGGTACAAGGAGTAGGAGAGGAAATGACAAATGGTATCAGATCACGCCAGTGGGTCAAGTCAAGGATGGATAAAAGCATTGGTTGAGTATCTGCTACATTTTTTTTTTTTTTTTAGTGATATTTTCCGTGTAGCACGAAGTTCAAGAACAGGCCGAGCTAGCCGGTGTACTGATTAGGGAGCTCTGTATATGGTAGATCCTGTAGCAGAGCAAGGGAGCTGCCCTCACGGGCTCGGGTCGGAGGAAGGGCGGGGTACCGGCGCTGCTGGGAACTTCTCCGTTATGACCCAGAGGCACTGGGCACGGTGCTCCCGTTCGCTTTTGTATATGCTAATGCACTCTTGTATGTAGGCTCTACTTTAAACCCGTCCCTCCCAGTTTTAAAAACTGCATCACTTAAAAGAGTATTTGTAAATGATTTAAGTAAAGGAGTACTAGGTGGTTCACCCCCAGGCTCAGGCACAGGTGGGTCGAAGGAGCACTGACTGAGGTGGCTTCTGCCACCACAAAATAAAAAGTTGTCGTCAGGAAGAGGGAGACTGAGGACAAATAAGCAGCCACAACAGCCTTAGGGCTGGGCTCGGGGTGCCCCTTCCAGCCCCACCTGCCCTCGGTCCGAGCACCAAGGACGGAGCCCATGCAGATGAAGAGCATGCTTGAGAGCCCCAGGGCGTTGTCTCCGGCTGCAGCGTGTGACCCACCTCACGCTGGACAGCGCGGCTAGGTCGCTTGGCAGGCCTCGCCCCAGGGACAGCTTCTGTGTGCCCCTCAGTGCGGGAAGGACCCGCTCTCCCGTTGGTTGGCAGGAATTGTCATACTGCAGAATCAGTGAGTTGTCACCGTGGACTAGGAGGTCAGTCTTTGGGCACTTGGGTGCTCAGGCAGTGAGTTCCGCAGGACTGTCCCTCTGGTCACAAGGGGTCTGTGGTGTCTGCCCTTAGCCCAGGGCCTGTCCCGGCACCTGCGGTACAGTAGGCGTCACACGGACCGTTGGGATGAAGACCATGGTCGGGCTTCTAGAACCACGGTCTAGGCCATAGGCTGCCTAGAAGCAGGGATTCTGTGAACACAGGAAGAGTTGCTCAGTATCGTTAGTCATCAGGGAAGTGCAGCTCAAAACCAGACGCCCAGTCCCACTTCACACCCACCAGATGTGGAGTGGAACCCTCGTGCCCCGCCGACAGGAACGTAAACCAGGCAGCTGCTGGGGAGACAGCTCGGTAGCTCCTCAGAGTGCTGTCCGGAGTTATAGGGTTTTCCGATGCACTAGTTCTCCTACTAAATATGTACATAAAAACGTACGTTCACACTGAACTTGTATGCAGATTTTCATAGCAGCTGTATTCGTCGTAGTCTACGGGTAGAGACCACCCGTTGGCCGCTGATGCGCGGGGGTGACGCTGTTCAGGGCAAGAGCAGGTGCACCGCTGGCCCTGCTGTCCACCTCTGACCTTTGACCTCCACCCCAAATCCCATGGCCCTGCTCTCCCTCTTGGAGGCAGACTGGGAAGGTGCTGGCCGGCCCCTCGCCCCTCACCCTGCTCCTCAGTCCGCCCAGTCTCTGACCTCTGACCTCTTGCAGAGTAGGGGCTGGGGGTTGGAGACAACATCTACCGCGCCTCTCTCTAGAGTCACCGTGAGGTTTAAGCTACTCTGTTGAAAAGTTCTTTATGAAGCAAAGGCTCAGGAAGATGCCCAAAATTAATAATCCTGGGACTAAAGCACATGCTGTGACCTTTGAATAACAACTGAAAGTAAAGGAACTGTGGATGGTACACCCGGGAAGAGTAGTTCCACATGTCCCTGTGAGTGTGGCAGCCACATTTACAGACGTTCCAGATTCTCAGACGTTCTGTTCTGTGTGACACTCCTGTGGTGTGAGCCTCACATCGGAGCCTTGATAAGTAGGATTTTTGACAAGTGGTCATGGGAGGGGACAGGCCTGTCCAAGTGGAAGGTGATGGGGCTGGAGTGGAGCAGGCCAAGCAATGGAAGATGGGGAGGCTAGGGTGCCTTGCACTCAAAGGGCAAAGTCCTCTTTCGAAAACCACCGGCCAAGCTGGGGGTGCGGTGGGTGCTGGTGTCCCCCTCTCCCTGGACCCCCGGTCCCTTTATGTTATTCAGTAGATAGTTAAAGACTTTGGCGTCTGCTTGGACGGCAGGGAGATTGTTCGTGGTCAGAGGGAATGGCTGTTGTGGTGTCCGTTGGTCTCTGATTGACTCCACGTGATGTCTGTGACTGTAAACTCCGCTTCTTCACAGCTGACCAGAGTCTCTCCTTTTACTTCATCTCTGACTTTTCATCTTTGTCTCATGTAGGAAACCGCTGATTGCTTGTGTGGAGAAGCAGCTCTTAGGAGAACATTTAACAGCAATTCTGCACAAAGGTAGGTTTTCCTAACTTGTGTCAGTTAGACCGAATGACGGTCCTTAATATATTAAGAAAGCAAGTGAGACATCGCACATAACAACGTAAAGGACATTTTTTATTGTAATACAACAATCATTAAAAATCATTAGGAATAACAAACATGTTAGCCCTTGGGGAAAATGAGTTCAGAGAAATAGTGAACAGCCTCTGGTAGAAATCCTGTGGAATGCGCTCGTGACCAAAGCTGCCGAGAGACCCTCCCATCCACAACTTGCGGCTGGGTCCTCGTGCGGCGCTTGTCCTCCTTCGCTGGATCGGTGCTCACCGGTGCTGGCCCACGCAGAGCGCCACGGGTGTAGGCTGCTTGGACAGGCCCTTAGATTGTCTCGGGGCTTCCTCCCCATGCCCTCCACTCAGCTGAATGCCAGCTGAACCACCAGGTGGCTGGGGATGTAAGCCAGAGTGCACTTTCCCATCCTGAGTCCACCTGAGCAGTGGACTGACTGAGCAGTGTTCTCTTCCGCGCTACATCCCTCGTGTCGCTCTTCAGGCCCTGGGGAGGAGTGACTCCAGCAGCCACCATGCACCTGCTGTTTGATTTGTTCAGTCTGCTTTCCTCATTAATTCCTGCCCTTCAAGGTGTGCTTCCTTCCCTGGACATTAGAGTCAGCCCAGTCTCACCTCTTATAACACGTTTGTACTTGGCATTACTTTTTATAGCTCTCAAGTATTTAATGTTACCACTTAAAAGTCAGGTTGGAGCTACAGGATCTATTTCAAGATAGTAGAGACCTTAAAGCTTAATCATGGGAAGACCCAGAATTATAAACATAAATTAGAAATTAAAAGAAAAATAATCAGCTGAAAGATGAGACCTGGTAACTCCCCCTGTGACAGATCTGCTGAGCGACAAACTTGATCAGAGGTAACATGGGGCCGTGAGGCACCGGGGGCGATCGGGGAGCACTGGCCAGGCCGCTGTTAGTGAGACCAGGGCTTCCATGACCCGAGGGATTAAGGAACACACCTGCCCGCCTGCTCAGAAAATGACCCTGCCTGACAGGGTCTTCTCAGATTCTGGAGACCAACTTGCCTACATAGAAATAAGCAGCAGTCCCTGCATTTGTGACTTACATACTAGCGGTTGCATGGTGCACACCACGCCGACTCGCTAACATGATGTGCTTACGTTTGCTGTGCGGTCTCAGGGCTGGACCACCTGCTTGATGAGAACAGAGTGCCCGACCTCACTCAGATGTACCAGCTGTTCAGCCGTGTGAAGGGCGGGCAGCAGATCCTGCTGCAGCACTGGAGTGACTACATCAAGGTGTGTGGGGCCGTCTCGGCGGGCGATGACCATGCCTTGTGGGGTGTGCGGTGCCTGGCAGAGGAGCTGGGCAGTCTGGAGACACCCTGGTTTTCTTGTGGCAGGTGCTTGGGTGGACAGCTGTCTTGCATTTCCTTCCAGATCGCTGGTGCAAACCTTTTTTTTAAAGATAACACCAACAGTGTGAGCACCGCCTACAACCAGGTGTGATGAAAGTCTGCCATTCATCAGCTGCCTGGGCTCCAGTTCTAGTTCCAACCACGATTTTCAAAGAGTTGCCATTTTGTGAATCTGCTTTTTAAACATCCGTGCCTTTGCTCATGAGAATTATTACGCATTTTGGAACATCCGTGTACTGTGTATGCTGCTTCATTTTCTAGCCATCCAGGACTATTACTTTCACAATACTTTGATGTTTCTTGGCACGTTGGCCTGTGGTTATGGGAAGGCAGCAGGAGGGCTCTTGGGCTGGAGTGCTCATGCCCGACCACGGTGATGGGTGCACAAGGCTGCCCCCAGCGATAAGTCCAGAGAACAGTACACACCGGGGGGCGGGAGGGAGAAACAGGTGAAACTGGGGCAGTCTGGAGAAGGTGGGTGTAGGGTATCAGTGCTCGTACCCCAAGAGTGATGCTGCTCTATCGTTTTGCCAAATGTTAGCATCGGGGGGAGCTAGGCAAAGTGTGTAAGGATCTCTTCACTCTCTACTGCATGTGAATCTGTAATTATCACCAGAAAAAATTCCATTAAATAGAAGGGGTAATGGGAAGCTTGCATGCTGCCTTATGGAACAGTCAGTCCTAAGAGTGCATATCCGTGTACACGTGGAACGCTCATGCACACGTCACCACACCCCCGAGACGTATACAGCAGCATCGGAGGTGAAAGTCATAGCGGGCTCGCTCTGGGTCAGCGACAGAGCTTCATGTTACGGAAAGTCTGATGGGGAGTGCAGGTGTTGCTGACGAGTAGCCCTCCAGGGAGCAGGGACATGCAGCGAACATGGGAGGTTCCCTCAGGAGTTTCAGTCCGGGTAGTAAAAGTGTAGTAAAAGTGAGTGTCCATCAGGGATACGCAGTCACACCGAGACACAACACAGGTGTGTGGCTATCACAGGGAAGATGACCCTTGGCGCTGTGTGTGTTACTTGCCATTAGTGCAGAAACACAGAGCAGAAAATCCCAGCCCTGCTGGTCATACAGTGTCCCTCCACTTAACGTGCGTGACACCTGAGTCTGCATGTATATGCTACTGAGGTCAGTTTTCAAAAAACCTATATATTATTTCTTTCAAAAGACAAAATTCGACTGAGTACATTTTGAAGATCTTACTGGCTGTACTTGGTGATTCATGAACCGGGCAGCGCACCATCCAGCAGATAGAAAGGAGCCCCAGGAGATAAGGGAGACTTTCACAGGCAGGAGCGGGCAGGACAGGAAGTTCTTGTAGTAAAGAGCAGTTGGTGTGGCAAGGTCACCTTCCTCGGGGGACGGCAGGGATCTGTCTGGCAGAGGTCCTCCCTCGTGCTGGCAAGTCTGCTGATCGCTCCAGGACTCCATTCCTTGGAGGGGCAGGCCGTAGGTCCCGGTCTGCTGGCGTGGGGCTGAGCACGGGGACTGCACTCGGGGCCTGCCGTCTCTCTCTTTGTAAACACGTCAGAGAGGAGCTGTACTCAGCATGAGTTACACCACCTGGGAGCGCATTTCCTCAGAAGCCGTTACTGTCATGTACAGACTTTTCGTGATGTTGAATAGGGCGTGTTTGATTTAAAAATACAGGCTAAAAACCGAGCTGTTGCTGGTTAGCAGTGGGGGAGAAAGAACCCTATAGTCAAGAAGCCCAAGTGGGTGTATTGGGTTAATGGGAACTTCTGTTTAGGAATTCATATGTAAAAGGTTTTTTTAAAACCGTGGACACTAATTTATAAATTCTTCCAGAAGCAGAATTGTAACACTGAAGCATTAATTGTATATTCACTTAATTTTTTGAATGTGGGCCGAATCTGAAACTTGAAATTATTTAGTATTTAACACCAACAGTAATTAATTTATATAAAAGTATTATGATTGTTTGAGAGCAGGAGAAAATGTGTGGTATCATTGCCTGTGGATGAGTTGGTGTGTGTGTGTGTGTTCTTGTAGACTTTTGGGACAACAATTGTGATCAATCCTGAAAAAGACAAAGATATGGTACAGGATCTGCTGGATTTTAAGGATCGGGTGGACCATGTGATAGAAGTGTGCTTCCAGAGAAATGAGAAGTTCATCAACTTGATGAAGGAGTCCTTTGAAACGTTTATCAACAAGAGGCCAAATAAGCCCGCGGAGCTGATAGGTAGGAAAACAGACTTCCATACAGTTTTTTAATATAGGAAAATAAGGCAGAACTCAAGCAAACGTTTTTTTCCCAAAATGTTTAAGCTCCTCTTGGGGAGGGTAGGGAAGGATTTGTATGACACCTTATTAGGACACACGTCTTTTTCAGAAATGTGTGTGTATGTTATGTATATATATAAGCACATGGCATTTCTGCAATGCTGAACATAGTAGTAATTTTGTAAAGACGAAGCTTGACGTCACAGAAGGAAGAGACAAAAATTTATTCTCGTGTGCATTTCCTACACTAGCAGCTCCAGAGCTGTATTTGATAGAAATGAGCCCTGGTTCTGTCTTGATTGCAAGTAATTTGTGCTCAGAAACTGGATGAAGAGGATTTGTTCTACACGAATGTCTCTGGGTTATGAGGATGACTTGATTGATCTCTAGAGTACATTTAGCAGGAAGATATTACTCAGTCCCTACCTTTGCATCCTCTCATCAGTACTAAAATAAGATAAAATTGGATGAGGTCTTTTTTTCTTTTTTTTTTTTTTGGATGAGGTCTTAAAAGATAACATGGTTAGTGCTGTGAATTGTGTAAGACTGTTGAATCACAGACCTGTACCTCTGAAACAAATAATACATTATATGTTAAAAAAAAAAAGAAGAAGATAGCAGGAAGGAGGAGAGATGAACCATGAGAGACTATGGACTCTGAGAAACAAACTGAGGGTTCTAGAGGGGAGGGGGGAGGATGGGTTAGCCCGGTGATGGGTATTAAAGAGGGCACGTTCTGCATGGAGCACTGGGTGTTATACGCAAACAGTGAGTCGTGGAACACTACGTCAAAAACTAATGATGTAATGGATGGTGATTAACATAATAAAAAAAACTAAAATAACAAAAAAAAAAGATAACATGGTTTAAGATGAAACCGTTTTTAAATGATCACTTTATCCAATTATGTTGTAGTAATACCAAAACGTATTTCAGGATTCATAGCCTCTCACTAATCAGTGAAGGTTTTTAGGCAAAGGGCAAAGAAAGAAATAGTAAATACAGTGATTCAACATTGGGCTTATTGATTATTGTTGAGGATATGTGATGGGAATGTGGGGTTCATCATGCAGTTCTCTACTTTTGTGTATGTTCAGAGTATTTCATAATAAAAAATCGTGAAGGAAGAAACTAATAAAAGCAGCAATAAGAGGGGCCCCTGGCTGGCTCAGGCGATGGAACATGCAACTCTGCATCTCAGGGTTGTGGGTTCGAGCCCCACATTGAACGTAGAGTGCTTTAAAAAAATAAAATCTTAAAAGGCAGCAATAAAAGAAATATACAAGGCAGTTTAGTTTGGCCTTCGTACCACTTTATGGACTATGGTTTCTCCAAAGATGGATATTTAACTCTTGGCCAAACCCCACGGTTGATCCGTGTGGTCTCAGCAACAAGAAGGCCGAGTGGCCTGCTCTCCCCTGGGTTCAGGGATGCCACGTGTCAAAGACGGGCTGTTCCAGTGGAGCAGTAATGCGTTGTGAAACCCAGGCATGTGATTCAAGTATTTATTCTCACATAACGTGAAAATATCTTAGAAAATCAAATTATCTGCCTTTTGTCATATAATGTCATTTTAGAAAGGTTCCAGGGGGTTGCCATCTGCTTTTTGCTTGTAGAAATTAAAGATGTTCTTTTTTCTGTTTAGAAAATGTATCATATAACAAATACTTATTCTTCAAATAATTTAAACTCTTAATCTCACAGCAAAGCACGTTGATTCAAAGTTGAGAGCGGGTAATAAAGAAGCAACAGACGAAGAGCTGGAGAGGATTCTTGACAAGGTCATGATAATATTCAGGTTCATTCACGGTGAGATACCCTCTACGCTGTTCCTATTAACACTGAGCATGGAGAAAAGGTTACCCGGTCCAGACATCTGGATTTGGGCCCTGTCTTTTCTTTTTCTTTTTCTTTTTTTTTTTTT